AAAAATTTCAAATTGGCTCTTTCCAATTTAGTGCTTTCTAAATTTAGCTCTTTCTAAGGCGGGTTGTTACAATATCTCCCCTAGGGAACATTTGTCCTCGAATGAGATCACTCTAAAGTAGAACTAAGGGTGGAAACATCTAACACCCAACTCAAACACCCAACATGCAAATTAACACAACATTTCAACTTAAAATAGTCCTTCTTAATTCCACTTAGAATAGTCCAAAACAACATAGTATAGTGATTAAAAGAGTTGAAAAAGACCAAAACGACCCTATAGAACTCTAGCAGCGACAGGTTCTACGAGAGAATCTATGGATCGTGGTTCCAGCTACGGACCATAGGGGTCTGTAGGTAGAAATCAAAGAGAATTGCTGAGTTTCTGAAGTTCAAACCACGAGACCAATCTACGGTCCGTGGTTCACTCTATTACCCGTAGAGGCCATCTGTAGAAACATGCTCAAATACAGTCTCTGAACTTTTTCTACGGATACCATCTACGGTCATTGGTTCATTCCACAAGTAGTAAACACCATCCGTAATTCTCAGACAAATTTACCAGTTTCTGAAGATGAATTTACGAGGCACATCTACGAACCGTATGTACTTAAACAATATCGTGTGGTAGATGCCAACTTTCTTCTCAATTTCATAGCCATTTGGTTTATATGGTTGTTCACATGAGCACAAGTACTGTTACCAAGTTATCTTTTTCATTTCTCCTGTAGGTTTTAAATATGCTACAAGAGTCTGCTTGCTCTGTACTATTTTCTCGTTTTGACCAGCTTCGGGTATAACATTAACTTCATATACAATTATGAGTGCAGGCAAAATTTACTACCAGGTAACTATGGACATGGTTGAGTGGTCTGATCAAGAAAGATATGGGACTTTTGGGCATTGCTTGTGATGAGTTAATTATGGCTCCATAGTTGTTTACAAACACTTTCATTGCACACTTTTCTGGAGCAAGGTGCGATTTATTTTTTAGTGTTGGATAAGTACGCAAAAAAATATTATCTCAAAAGCATGTATATGTATCTAGCAAATCAGGGTGGGAGGGGGTGGAATGGTCAAATGGTAGGGAGTGGAACTCTAATAAGCACAATCTATGTGCAATATTTGCTCTTTATATCGCACTATGCTTTTGTTATTATTTTTACTAGACTCAACTTTTAGATAGGTGCGAGTAAATTAAATTTCACCTTTGGAGTTTTAGATTTTGATATCAAACTATATACTCAGAAGTCAACTTTTATTGTTGAATCTAGAGTGCTAAAGAAAGTGGCTACTGGTTAGTATAAGTATTTCGATTGTTAAAACAGATTAAGCCTAATGTTTATGTGAATGAATATTGTGAGCAACATTAAAACTAATTTATCAACATTGTAAATGCTAAAGAACTTTTTAAACGAGCGCAAAAATACTCTAAAACTATTGATAAGTCTCTTGTTAGATACTAATGAGTACTTTAATTACGATGAAGTTTAATTAATGATTATATATCATACATGAGCATGTCACCGAAATGATAAATATGACGCGACTTGAGACTTTAGAAATGAAAGTGGGTGAAAATTTTCTTGTATGATTTATCATCAACTTAATACTATTTGAGGACACCTACTCTCACTACTAGAAAACTGTAAATTATCTGCGAATTTTACTTGGGGATTATTTCTGCAGAAACTTCCTACGAATTTTCATGCGGAAATATGAAATTCCTAAATTATAGACTTTTTTACCTGTGAAAAATAGTTTTCCAGAAAAATTGGTGGGTAAATTTGACGCCATTTTCACAAAATTATTACCTAGGGAATTATTTGCGGTAAATAATTTGTAAGTATTATTTTCATAGGTAAATTCACAAGTAATAAAAAAAAGGATTTTTTTTTATCTTCTAGCAAGAAAATTTCTAGATAAATTTATTTGCAAATAATTACTTGGAAATTTATCTAGAAATATATGTGGTATTACCTGGGATTCATGTTCTGTGAATTTTGTTGGGGATTTACTTAGGAATTTTCTTACTTGAAGAATTACTTGGGGATTCTATTATTGTGAATTTGATTTGAGATTTTTTGAGGGATTTACTTGGAAATATGCAAACTTGAATATTTTTATATAATTTAATTGGAATTTTTTTTATTGAAATCTAAGGATTTTTTAAAATTAGGAGTCCTAAGGGAATATTTTCTTAAAAATATATTTACCAATATTAAAAAAATATAATAATATAAAAGGGACAAATGATCATTAGAATGAAATTTATTGTTAAATAATTATTCTATTTTTAGGTTTAATAAATTATTATGCAATAATATCGATTTAATAAGGTGTTGGAACATTATCATAAATTTTAGGATGAATATTTTTAACTCATATATAATTAATATTTAATCTCACTAAACATCAATGTTATTATTTTTTAATTTTTTATTTGAAAGAAACAAAGAATTAAAATTAGATGGCTAGTTATTTATTCAATAGAAAAATAATTATCATAAATATTTATCAATCTATATGGTGTTGGAACATTACCATAAATTTTAGTACAGAAAAGGGCCTAAAATACCCTCGAAGTATTGGAAATGGTACACAATTACCCCCCATCCACCTATTGACCCCCAAATACCCTTCCCATCCACCTTTGGGTCCAAATTTACCCCCTTCATTAACAGATTACAATTTAAAATAATTAAATAATACTTTTAATTACGTGGCACTCAACCATTGGTTGTAATTTAATTATTTAATATAATTTTAAACCCACCTATTTTAACTTAACCCGCCCCGATTGACCCAATACAAAAAAACCTATCTAATTAAAAGAACCATAAAACCCAAATTTCTTTCAATTTATTTCACGATCTACAAAGGGTTTAGTAGCTTCCTGATAACTACACTCATCAGTGAAGTTCTCAGATTGCAAGGGTATTTTCGTTCACAATCTCGACTTCAACTCAAGTAAGAACTTGTGCACTTCGGAATTTCAGTTAGGGTTTAGGTTTTTATTGATTTTACTTGTTTTGAGAATCAATTTCTATTAATGTTAATGTTCCATGTTTTCTATGCTTTTTTGACAATTATTATGGTGATACATCAATTTGTTTTGTGTTGTCTATTTATGTTAGCGTACTGTGTTACTATATTGATTTCGAGTAGGATTTTTATATTGTTGTCTCAAGTTTGTTCTTTTCTGTCTTTATTCGTTGTCTCTCTCTTTATTTTATAATTCTTTTCGATTTGTGTTTTTGTTAGTTTGATTTGCCTTTACTGTTGTTAGGTATGAAATACTTTATTGAATGGTCCATTTTTTGGATTCCAGGTATTGTATTATATGTTTTTGTGTATATAAAGTTTTACTTTGACGAATGTGGTCCCTATTCCTTTACTCTTGGTAGATTCCTCTGTTTTTTTAAAATATTTTGTTGTTGTCTAATAGCCCTTTTCTCTTTCTTTTTTGTCTATAATGTCCTTTTGTTGAAGAATGGTCGACAAGGTGGACCTATTATTCTATTATGGGGGTAGGTGGGTACTGACACCTACTGTTATTTACATTAAAAAATTGACTCATGTTTGGAAGGAGTATGATCCAGATTTATTGTCATATATAGACATATGTGAAGAGTTTCATGAAAAGTTAGGTTTTAGTAAGGTCCAACAACTTCTACTCAAAGGACCTTCTGGGAGGTATTATTTGATTGAAGGGGATTCTGGCATAAGAACAATACAAACAACAGTCTGTTAGGTCTGGTGTACTTGAACTGTTTGTTGTAGATGAGGGGATGATGTTGTCCCAGCTATTGACATCAGCCACAATAATGAGCCTTACCTAGTCACAATAGATGTTGCTACTGAAGGTGAAATAAGTGAGGAAGAAAATGAACCTTACCTAGTCACATTAGATGCTGCAACTGAAGGTGAATCAAGTGAGGAAGAAATGATGAAAATGAACCTTATCCCAGTGACTACAATAGTGAAGAATTGGAATCCTTTAGATTGGAAAAGAAAAGAGAAGTTAATGATCAACTTGACAACTTTAAAGAGTTGGAAAAAGGTATGAGCTTTAAGAACCTTGAAGAAGCTAAAAGGGTTGTAAGCTACTACTCAATTGCTAGGAAGGTTGCCCTTAGGGTTGATAAGAGTGACTCTGTTAGAGTTAGATATAAGTGTATTGCTGGTTGTCCTTTTCTGTATCTGATTTCTGAAGTTAAGAAAGGGCAAAGATTTGAAATTAAGACCTTGTAAACAAAACATACATGTCCAGAAGCATTCAAGAATAGAAGAGCTACTCAACAAGCTCTAGCACACTACTTCAAGAAGAAGGTCCAAAATGATCCCAAGTGTAAAGTGAATGAAATGAGAAAGATTGTAGATGATAACTTTAGGCTTAATATTAGTTATTCAAAAATGAAGTGGGTCAAAAGACTTGTGCTAGAGAAATTAGATGGTAGTTATGTTGATGATTTCAATAAATTGGAGGGTTATGCTCAAGAGTTAAGGGACAACAACCCTGGTACTGATGTAATTATAAACATATCCAAAGAGGCTTTGTTGGAACATGGACAAAAAAAGTTTTTGAGAATGTATATTTGTATTCATGCTTTGAAAAGTGGCTGGAGAGCTGGTCTGAGGCCATTTATAGGGTTAGATGACACCTTTTTAAAAGGGAAGTTCAAGGGAATTTTATTGGTTGCACTTGGACAAGATTCAATGAAACATTTTTATCCACTTGCTTGGGCAGTGGTGGATAGAGAAACTATTAGAACATGGAAATGGTTCATTGAGTTGCTGAGGAATTCATTGGGGTTGGCAGATGGTGAAGGATACACTTATGTCTGATATGCAAAAGGTAATTTTGCAAGTGTTTGATAGTTTTTTATTATAGTTATTGTATACACTTGAATTTTTTTAAGTTATTCTATTCTGTTTTTTCTTGTTGTTACAAGGCTTGATTGGCGCTGTTGGTGATTTGCTTCCAAAAGCACAACATAGATGGTGTGCAAGGCATATAGAAGCCAATTGGTCCAGGTCTTGGAGTGGTGTACAAATGAAGAAGATGTTTGGTGGTCTGCTTGGAGTACCTATGAAGAGGAATTTAATGACCAATTAAAGTCTATGGGTTCTGTGTCTAAACAAGCAGCCAAAGATCTTTTATGGTATCCACCGCAACACTGGTGCAGGGCTTTTTTTGACACTGTCTGCAAAAATCACTCATGTGAAAATAATTTTACCGAGTCATTCAACAAATGGATTTTGGAAGCAAGGGCAAAACCAATAATCAAGATGCTGGAAGACATTAGAATTAAGGTACTGCCACTATTTTATATAACTATCTGATAGTAGCTATTTATGTTTAATATGGTAGTAATATGTAGGTGTTACGTTTAGATTATATATGTCATGTATATGTTATATATTTCACTGCTATTTATAGGTTATGAAAAGGTTGAAACAACTTGAAGAAGAGGGTAAGAGGTGGACAGAAGAGTATTGTCCATACTCCATAGATCTGTATCATGATTTTAGAATGATTGCACAAGGTTGTCAAGTTGTTGCTAATGGAGACTTAGGATATGAGATGGATGAGGGTATAGATAGACATATTGTGAATCTTGCTACAAAGAAGTGTACTTGTAGGACATGGGATTTGACAGGAATACCATGTCCTCATGCTATTAAAGCATTAGAACATGATAGACTAGAACCACTGAATGAGATGCATTGGTGGTACTCGAAAGAAGCTTACTTGTTTGTGTACCAGCCTAAAATTCAACCTGTTATGGGTGAGAAATTCTGGAAAATTGATCCTTCTCAAGCTATGCAACCACCACAAATTCATAAATTGGTTGGTAGACCAAAATTAAAGAGAGTAAGGGAAAAGGATGAGGCAAGAAAAAAAGAGGGATTATGGTCGAAAAGGATTGCAAATGACATGTGGAAACTGTGCTACTGGTGATAATCGAAGAAGATGTCCTTTGGTAAGTTATGTTTCATCAATTTATAATTACTTACAATGTATATTTATTTATCCTACGCTTTCACAAATTGTATAGCTTCAGAAAGGAAGACAAGTTCTCCCAGCACTCTAACCAAGTGAAGAAAATGAACCCGTCTTTATGCCAACTCTTGGATTTGTTGCATCTTCTAGTCGACAAACAAGCCAACAATCAAGTCAAGCATTCAATGAAGTTCCTGGTCCTTCAAAATCAAAGAGAAAAAATGTTTCAAAGGACAAAGTTGATGCAATTCCAAAGAGTTCTAAAAACAATGGAAAAGAAATAGTTGTTGCACCTTCAATTGCAACTGTTGATGAAGATGAAGTTGAAGATGGTATTAAATCTGAGGATGAGGATACAATGTTTGCACCTAGGATGATATCTGAAGAAAAGATTAGACTACAAATGCAGAAGCTGCAACAACAACTAATTGGTTCAAGAAGGATTAGTTTCAGGGGTGATGAAAATGGTGCTTCTATTCCTACTAATCTGCCATACTCACCAAGAAAATTGGCATGGAAAGGAAAATAAGCTATGACTTCAAATCAGTTGACAGTTGAAAAGGAGACAAAAATTGGTAAATTAAAGGCAACGAAAGGAAAAGAAGCTACGACTTCAGATCAGTTGACAGTTGAAAGGAGAAAAGAATTGGCAAAGTGAAGGCAAACATGGGTGGGAAGAAGTAGTTGCATTATGAAGTTGTTTTTTGTTTTCCAGTGTTATGTAATGGCATGATGAAACTTAATATTTTGACTTTTTTGATGTTACTCCGTCTTGAACAAGTGTCTATAAGTTTTTGTGGGTTCAAAATATATGACAATGCCATTGCTACTTATCTATGTAGTTGTTGTTTTTTGTTTTCCAGTTGCATTCTGTATGTTGCTTTATCTGGGAAGATGTCTTGATAGTAGGCCTAACAGATCTTGTGAGTTGTGAATCCCCAGTGATATTTCTTTTGAACTAGAGTGAGTTGATAATTTCTAGTGTTGGGAGTGTTTCTTTAATTTTGGTTGTCTACTAAGTGGTACAGACGACGAAATGGCTGAGAGCATATTATACTGTTAACTTGCATTTGTGTAAAATTGAAAAGCAATCCATAATTTAGCTGCTGTAAAATTTGCAGATTGCTGTAAAAATGCAGATTGCTAAATGGTAAAAATGCAGATTGCTAACATTAACAAGATTGCTAACAACTTTTCCATTACAATCAAGAGATCAACAAGATTGCTAACAACTTTCAACAAACAAAACACAATGACATGACATCAGTTGTAAACTGCAGATTGCTAACATTACATCAAAATACTAACGACTACACCACACTACTAGAACAGAGCTACACCAAACTACTAACGACTACACACTACTAGAACAGAGCTACACCAAATTACTAACGACTACACACTACTAGAACAAAGTTACACCAAACTACCACGACTACACATTACAAACGATCCAAGAAAAGAAGTTCAAACATAACTACAGTACACTACATCAACTCGATAGCTACAAAACCAACAATAATACCCCAAGAGATCAGAAGCAAGCTTATCAATTGAAGCCCTTTCAATTTCCACTTTAGTTTATTATCATCCAAGTTCTTCAAATTAGAACATTCAATATGATGTTCCAACTCCAAGTTTGAAACTTTATCCTCCAAATTTGAATTTTCAAAAAAAGTCATATCATTCAAGTTAGAACCAATGTTTGGTTTATGAATTTCAATGCCACCCATTTCCTTTAGGATCTTCTTCAATCGGTTTCTTTCCTTCCAAATTGGATCTAATTCAATATTTTGATTGTGAGTCTTCAATCACACATGACTTGGAAGTTTACTATCGATCCAATCCAATGACCACAAGATAATGAGCAAGAAAGACTACCTTTGAAAAATCGACGTCCACCATTCTCACGGGTCATAGCAGTAAAATATTTTTCTATCAATCCACACTTACATGTACTAGACTAAGAAGATGTCAACATTGAAACAACACAAAATTTAACAAATCTGATGAAAAAGATGATCTCCAAAAGAGCTCCAAGAACTAACTGATGAAGTTGGGGGGAAATGTTTAGGGTTTTGTTTAAAGAAATGGGTAATGGGTGTTTTATTTGGATGGGTTGGGTATTTTGAAGATGGGTCGGGTGGATAGGGTGGTTTGGGTCAAACAAATTAGGCTTTAATTAATTAAATTTCCAACCAATTATAACATGCCACGTAATAAATGAAATAATTAAATAAATTTACTAAGTAGTCCGTTAGTCAAAAAGGAAAAATAGGTCCCTAAAGGTTAACCCCAAGGGTATTTTGAGGCCAAAAGGTAAACGAGGGGTATTTTTGTACCAATTCTGATACTATAAGGGTATTTTAGACCCTTCTCCGATTTTAGTATGAATATTTTTATATAATTAATATTTTATCTCGCTAAAAATCAATGATACCATTTTTTATTTTGTTTTTGATTTGAAAGATACAAAGATTTAAAATTATATGGGTAGTTGTTTATCCAATAGAAAAGTAACTATCATAAATATTTGTCAAATTAATACGGCGTTGGAACATTACCATAAATTTTAGGATAAATATTTTTAACTTATATATAATTAATATTTCATCTCGCTAAAAACCAATGATACCATTTTTTATTTTATTTTTTTATTTGAAAGATAGAAATAATTAAAATTATATGGATAGTCATTTATCCAACAGAAAAATAACTATCATAAAAGTTTAATTACCCCTTGTTGATAGAATTATATGAAAAGAAAAATAAATAATTTTTACTTGTATATTCAATTGTATATTATATTTTTACTAGCATTAAAAATAAAATAAAAAATCTCTATAGTAAGTTATTAAATGATATTATATCCAAATATAAAATTAAGTATATTAAAATATAATTATTAAAAGACAAATTAAAATTATAAATACCAAATTTCCTAATAAGATATACAATCAATTATTGATTTATAACTTCCTTGCACATTAAATTTATAAATATATTTATATTTTCAATTATTTATTTATAAGAACTTTGTATGCGTAATGTAAATTTTGTCTATATTTAATATGCTTCGTTATATATATTATCTCATAGAAGGTATAAGCATAAAATTTTCATGATATGTTGGGTGGTAGTGATTTATTTTAATAAATAAATAGTTGTCATGCTTTATTTTTAAAAAGCTAAATCACATGAACTTTCTCAACATTTTAAAATATATTTTTATCTCATATTATTATGAGATGACTTTATAGTACTTTTTGTGTAATGAATATCTAAATTGTATTTTTAATACTCAATTACTTTAATTAAATTTAGCTTTAAAAATTAATCAAATTGAAAAATAACAACAAAGTTTAGTGTAATGCTAGTGGTACTTTTTACCACACCGGTGGAAGACACATGATCTTTAGCATTTATAATGCTATTAGTTAGAGCATTTGTAGAATAAAGTAATTACATATAGGTTGGGCATTGGGTAGTGGGCTAGGATTAAGTTACTGCAATTATGTAGAGTGGACTAGGATTATGTTAGTGCAATTAAGTATGTGTATGGGGTGTACTAAGTTTATGGGGTTCAAGAACAAAATTATTAATTAGGAGATACTAATTATTAATTAATATTGTCTAGAAAAATTCTTTTTTGTTAATTTTTACGAAAAAAAAATGGTATATTTTTTTGCAAGAAAATTCCCAAGTAATTTACTTGCGAAATATAAATCCCTAGGTAAATTACTTGGGGATTTTAAAATTCGCAGGAAATAATTACCTAGGAAGGTTTTACCATCGGATTTTTTTTGGCAGGAAAATCCACAGGAAACTTAGTTTCTTGCTAATTTTCATATGTAATCCCTAGGAAAATTCCCATGTAATTCCCATTTTTCTTGTAGTGTCTAATCTAACTAGATAGTAAAACAAAAACATAAGAACTCAATCATCTGTACAAAACTTTCTCAACTTCCAACGACCTAGTCTAGACATGCACAATAGCTTCTACTAGAGTATAGACAGAAAATACAACAAATACATTAAAGAACGATACAACTTCCACTTGAGAATAAAGAAGGTAGAAGCTGATGTTGAATAACCGCCGTCTCACACATCAAATTACAATCTGAAACAAACCTACATCACTAAAAGGTGTAGCAAGAATAGACCTTCAATGGAGGAAAAAGACTTTGGGAATAAGGTGAATATCATGGAGGATGATATATAAAGGCCTGAAATTTACTCATCGCTATCGCCAAGCCCAAGGGATCATGATCGCGATGGAACTTTTGCCTCACACTATCTAGCAAAAGCCAAAAACCAGCCAAGGCTCTGATGTTTGTTTGGGTGCTCAGGATTCATCGGAGACCCCGTGGGTGCAAACGAACTAGGCTAGCCCATCAAATTCGACATTCTAGACTCAACAAAACCATCAAAACTTCCAATGGAGATCATTTTTATGAAAAGTTGACCCACTAGGCAAAGTTTGATTTTAGCTAAAATCCACAGGAAAGCTTGAAATGAGCCCGGAAGTCTTGAGACTCGAACCAAAGGTTCTTCTGGACTAAAATTGACGTCCAAGAGCTAATAGAATCATGATAAGTGCATTTCAAGGCCGTTAGCCTGAAGTTTTGACTGAAGTCAAATATCTGAACTTCATAAACTCCTAAATAGGAAAACTTGCATAAAAATCAAATAAATGGCCTGGATGACCGAACTATCAGTCCCAACAAATCGTAAATGACTTTGAGCCGCTACAGAAAAGTCTAAACGCCAAAAATACTAGGAACACGGAAAAACTTACCTGGAGGATCATTACAATTTATTATATATACCTTTGACATAAAAAAAGGAGTTAAATATCCTCAACCGTCCCACAATTACTCAACTATAGATAGGGCATAGAGAGTTTCAAATATAAAAACATATTATAATATACTTAAATGTTTGGATTTCTTTTTTTAGAATTAAACGCAAAATCTTAGATTCAATTTTTTTACTTAGTTAATTGTGTTTTTATTTTTATTTTTATTGTATTCATTAGAAGTTTGATTTGTTATAAGTGTTTGCAAATTTCTACCTGGACATATTTTATTTTTCTATGTTTCATGAATTCAAATTGTAATGAAATAATTAAAGGTATTGAAATTATAAAAAAGAACAAAATTATTGGAAGACATTTTGATTTGGCTATGAAGAATATTGTTGAGAGACTAGAAAAGTTTCTTACCGTGTTCTTTTTAAAATATCTGCTCAAAATGTTCACTTGTAGAAAGCTTTTTGTTGGTAAAAAGGAAAAGTTTAAGTTCATTTATACTCCCTTTTAATTGTCATGTTGCGTTTTTTATAAGTAAATTTGACTAATTTTCAAAGTTAAATTAGATTACATTGATTCGATATTTTAAACAAAAAATTTAAATATTCAAAAACTATATGAAAAGTACTATAAATTGCAATTTTTTCATATCTATATGATGAAAAAATCATCATAAAATGTTAGTCAAAGTTATTATAGTTTGACTCTAAAAAAAGAAACTATAACAATTAAAGTGGATGAAGGGGTCTGAACGTAGACACAATTTATAACGACACAAATTCAAAAGGAAATCAGAGAAAGGGTGAGTATGTTCATAGGATCTCGAAAAGCAAGAAGGTGCCAAGTTTTGATACAGAGAATTTGTAATTAATATAGGTTTTGTTTGCTGACTTTTTTAGTAAGTACACTGGAGGTCTAGTTCAAAGCTGAATAATTTTCTTAGAAGGGAATTCAGATCACTAGATGCTCTTAGATTGTAAAGACTGCTAAGTTATTTTGGTTGTATGGTAATATTCACCTTTTATTGCAAAAAAAAAAGTGGACGAAGATAATAAATATTTTTAGCGTATTTAAGTAAGGATCTATTCCATTATAATAACGAAAAATTACTGAAATACACGTCTTATATTTTCCTTATTTTCAATATCCGCTTCTATTTCTAAAAACCTCTAAAATCTCTTATTTCGTTAATGTGTCCGAGCTACATATTAATGTATCCGAGTCAGTATTTAATGTATCCGAGCTACATATTATGTATTCGATTTATTTTATAATATATCCGAGCTACATATTATGTATCCGAGCTAGTTTTTAATGTATCCAAGCTACATATTATGTATCCGATTTATGTTATAATATATTCGAGATACTCTTTAATGTATCCGAGCTACATAGTATGTATCCGATTTATGTTACTTTTTAAGGAATTAGTGTAATTACAAACTAAAGAAGAATAGATTGTAATTTCATATTAAAATTATGTGATTCCTAAAATTTACCCTAATAATAATCTCCTCCGCGTTACACTCATAAATGTGTTTCACGTGTAGACAAATTAGAAAACAGACTTGACATTGTCAAAATTCAAACTTAAATTAATTGTAGCCTCACAATTTTTACATCACCTTATGACGTTGGGAACCCCTTAAATCATATGTGACGTGATAATCTATATTTCTATTATCTTACTTAATACTTAGTAAAGGTTTTGTATGCCAATATAAAAAATACATACTCCCTGTCCTATTTTATATGACAGTCTTTTTTTATTAGTTTACCTCCAAAAATTAAATTACTTTACCGTAAGTAAAAATAATCTAACTTTAAATTTTTTCTTTATATTTAATAAAATGATTATAACTATACAAATTATTTTAAATTATAAATTCTACTTTTTCTTTTTAATAAAAAAATAACATGCAAACGAGACGGAGGGACAAAATGCGGCTAAAGTGTACACACGCTATAGTCTGAAACTTTGTTAAAAAATCAAAACATTATTAAATTGGGTTTGACTTTATTTTAGATTTTTAGTCCCACACGCAATTTTTGTTATAATAAGGAGGACTACTCTTTCGGTTCACTATTTTAAAAATAAATTTTTATTTTTATATATTAACAAAATTAATTGTTTTTTTTTGCTTTTTTTAATATTAATTATTTATTTTTTAAATTTAATATTAAATATTAATTAATAGAGATCGTGTGATAAAAATCATGTTAATTATTATTTTATTGAAAGATATATTAGGTTCAAATATAAACAAAGAGCATAAGACAAATATATTAATATCACAAAACTTAGGATTAAAAAAATATGTATTAGATAGTGTTGTAAAATAATCATGTCAATTATTTTTTAATATCCCAGGTTCAAATATAAACAAAGGGAGTAAGACAAATATATTAGTATCGCATAACTTAGGATAAAATAAATATATTTTTTTAAAGCTGCTAAATGACCACAATAATTTGACCCGATATATATTCATAAAAAGTTATTTTCTATATTTATTTTTTGGGTAGGGCAAAAATAGTTACTATTCCTCCCGTCCATTTTTAATTGTCATGATTTTCCTTTTTAGTGTCAAATTATAAGAACTTTAACTAACATTTTATGAAGTATTTTTTTCATTATATTAATATACAAAAAAAATGCAGTTTATAGTACTTTTCATATAGTTTTTGAATATCCAATTTTTTTATTTATTTAAACATTGAATTAATGTAATCTAATTTAATTCTAAATTAGTCAAATTGACTTTCGAAAACGTAACATGCCAATTGAAACTGGACTAAATGAAGTATCAAATAAGTTAGGAGAGAGATGAAATTCCACGAGGCACAACTTGGTAGGTCAAAATAATTTGGATTCCTTTTGACAAATATTATTTGTCATTTCATGGTATTATTCTCTTGTTCATTTTTACTCGTACATTATATTCTCTCTATTTATCATTACTTGTTTATTAAGTATATTATTTCGAAATGTCTAATAATATTTGTCCATTTTATAAAACAAATAAATATTTATCATGTTGTGTCTTTTTTTTCTTTTTCTTTAATCTTTGCTATTAAATACTACATTTGTTTCTCAACGTTTATATACTTATATTTAAAAGGGTACGTAATTTAGTAAACTTACCCTTATTATTTACAAGTTCTTAATTCATGTTTAAGGTCAACACTGAACAATTATTATTTGACAGAGGGAGTAGTTTTCTGATTCTATATATACCTAGCTACTTCCCTTTCTTCCTCTCTCAACTTGTCCATCTCCTTTCAAAGAAGATGGAAAACATGGTTGAAGAGAATAATAATTATTTGGAAACAACCATGTTCTTTCATCCAGATAGGTAAATTTTAATTCATGCTCTTTCCCATTTAGTATTTTTCGTATTCTTCTTGTGGAATTGATAAAGATAATTTTTCGTAGCTACTTGGATGAGCCAATTATGTCGTCATACTATGATTCAAGCTCACCAGAAGGGGCACAATCATCGAAGAACATTGTATCAGAAAGGATTAGGAGGAACAAACTCAAAGAGAAGTTATTTGCACTTAGAGCTCTTGTTCCAAAAATAACCAAGGTGAAACATAAATTGTTACTTAATATATACAAATGTATCGTTCTTTTTGGACCGACTTATAAAAAAGTGAGTCATATAAACTGAGACAGAAGGAGTATCTGTTTATAAGTCTCGAGTAACTTGGAAGCCAAGTTTACTAGAACTAATTAACATGGACATTCATCAAATACTAGTGCATTTATAATGAAGATTAATGGACATCAGATTAGTATTTCATAACAATAATTACATTAAATATATATACATCATGAAGAAGCATTTTAATTTTTCTTTTTCTTTTTCTTTTTTCCAGATGGATAAAGCCTCAATAGTGAAAGATGCAATTGGCTATATTGAAGAATTGCAAAAGCAAGATAGGAGAATTCAAGGAGAGCTATCAGAGCTTGAATCTGAAACCTCAAACAAGAATAGTACCCATCTTCAACATGAAACCTTTGATTTTTCAAAGCCTAAAAGACCAACAACACTTGATGAGCAGCAGTATGGATATCATTCTTCCCCTATTGATGTTCTTCAGGTAATTTAACAATATATAAATGTGCACTTTAAAGGTAGCCTCAGTTGACATCTGTGTCTTCAAACTTTGGGTGTGCACAAGTAGACACTTAAACTTGTATACAGTTGAACAAATAGGTAGGACGTCAGCAGTAGGACTGCAAATTGTCATGTAGAATGTCTCATAGGACGTCCTACTGCAAATTGTCATGTAGAATGTCTCATAGGATGTAAGTGTCTGCTTGTTCAATTATATAATGTTAAGTGTCAACTTATACACACCAAAAACTAAAAGTCAGTTAAAGAACATTTTTATGTATTAGGTTTTTATTATAATGAAAGATATTCCATAAGATAAAGTTACTTATCTTCTTTTTTTCCTTTTGAAATTGTAGTTGAGGGTATCTTCAATGAGAGATAAGACAGTGGTGGTGAACCTCACTTGCATCAAAAGAAGAGACACAATGGTAAAACTTTGTGATGTTTTTGAATCTTTGAATATCAAAATAATTTCTGCAACTATCTTTGCTTCCTCTGGGACACTTCTCCACACATCTTTCATTGAGGTAACACAATCTTTTTCTCACCCTCTTTTTTTGTTTCTTTTTACTTCCATTGTTTTTTCCACTAACAAATTTTGTTTTCTAATTTAATAATAAGTTGTTTAAATAAATATATTTTGCTTACATACCTAACAAAACTAAATAAATGTGAAATTCACTTATTTTCTTAAAAAATAGTTGAAGTCTAATCATATACTTCCTCAGTTTAAATTTGATTGTTTGGTTTTAACTTGACACAAATTTTTAAAAATTAAAGAAAACTTTTGAATTTTGTATTCTTAATTTAAAGTAAGTAGAATCTACGAAAAATGACGTTTTATCTTGTAATATCAAACAAATCATGTGGAAAGTTAGAACTAGAGAGTTATGAAATAAAAGGAAGAAACACTATATAGAGAAAAATAAAACAAAGGTATATATATATATATAATGTATTCTGAAAAGATTAAGCTCTTTGGTTAATTATAAATTAGATGGATTCCTAAAGTTCTGAAGTGTTACTTGTAAAATGATAATTTCTTACTATGTGAAAAGTTCAATAATTTATACTCCCTCCTGTCTCATTTTATTGAGCTAGTTTGACTTAGCACGGAATTTGAGAGAAATAATTTTTTTTAAAAATTTGTGGTTTAAAATAAGTGATAGATATTTATATGATTATAAATTATTTTATTAAAGATAAAATGAATATTTTAAAGTTAAATTGTTATTAAATATAAAAATGTATCAATTCTTTTTTGGATGGACTAAAACGGAAAGTGACTCATATAAATTGGGACAGAGGGAGTATTAGTTAAATATAATACCTAATATCTACTGTCACTTTGATTTAATTTCTCTTTTCCAGGCTGATGAGGAAGAGAGCAATCTTTTGAAGTTGAGGATTGAAACTGCTATAGCTTCTCTAAATAATCGAGATAGCCCTATGAGTTCTTAGAACAACAATTGCTTTGATTAAACTATGTTTCTCCTTCATGATAATAATTAATAAGGATGTATTTATTCCAAGAGTGTTTTTTTTCCTGGTTGATCTTAAAGTTTGGTCACTTTTGAATAGCTATTAATTTATGTAGTTTGTAGTTGGTGTTTTTCACATGAAATTTCAGTCAATGAAAGTCTACCTTTATCGTCCATTTCTAAGGGTGTGTTTGGTAGGAAGGAAAATGTTTTCTAATTTTCTCATGTTTGGTTGACTTAAATGTTCTGGAATGTTTTCCAAATCAACTTATTTTTTTCAAATTTAAGGAAAATGACTTCCCTTACAAAAGTAAGGAAAACATTTTCCAAAATCATTTTTAACCTCACACCACAACTTTCCAATGTAACTTAGTCTAGGGTATTGATTTTTTATACTAATCTAGGAATATCTTACTACTGATTCTTGATTTGAGACTTGACTCTCGAGCTCTATTCGAGACCCAACTCCCGTGTTCCGGATTGAGTCAGGTCAGATCTCCAGTGAGGACTAAAGGTCGAATTTTGGGTTGAGTCCCGAATCAAATGTTGGGATGAGGTTTTGAGTTGGGTGTTAGAGTCGGGTATTAGATTGGGTGTTGAGGTCGAGCCTCATGTCAAGTGTCAGATTTGGGTCCCGAATCGATCGTTGGGGTGGGATGTCAAAGTCGACTCCCGTTCAAAGGTTGGGTCCTGAGTCTGGGTCAAGTTCTGATTCGAAATCAGGTCCTGATGCGAAATCGAGTCTAGATTTTGGTGTATGGTGTCAATTTGGGTGTTAATGTCGAATTAGGGTTCAAAAATCAGAAGTTGAGTGTCGAGGTCTGGATCAGAATCGGGTATCGAGTCAGGGTCTCAAGTCTTGAGTCTCGAGTCGGGGTTTTGGGTCTCAAGTCTTGAGTTTCGAGTCGGGGTCTCGGGTCTTAGGTTGGGGTCGGGGTTGGGTCTTGACTCAGGTGTCAATGTCGATTTTATAGTTGGGTCGGGGTCGGGTCTCTAATTAGGATAGGAGTCGAGTCTCAAGTCTAGGTCTCAGGTCTCGGGTAGTGTTCATAGTTAGGTCGGGGTCAGGCTCGAGGTCACGGGTCGAGGTTGGCGTTGTGTCTTGGATCTCGGGTAGGGTGTCAAGGTCAGGGTCGGGTCCTGATTCAAAAGTTGAATCCTAGGGTTGGGTATCGTGTCTCAAGTGTCGGGGTCAAGGTCGGGTCTCGGGTCATATATAGTCTTGGTCGGGTGTTAGGGTCGAGGTCAGGGTCGGGTCGGGTCTCCGGGTCGGATTTCAATTCAAAAGTTTGATCAGTCAGTTTTTGGGGCCGACAGTCGGAGTCGGGTCTCAGGTCGAGGTTGAGTTATATTCCAGTTCAAATGTCGGGTCTGGGGTGGGGAGTCGGGGTTAGGTCTTGAGTTGGGTCTTGGGATCGTGTTTCGATTTGGGTCAGGGTCCGGTTTCAATTTGAATGTTAGGTCTCGTGTCAGGAGTAGGGGGGGGTCAGGTCCCTGATTGGGTATCGGGTTTGGGTGTCGGATCGATTATCGGGGTTGGTTTTAGGTCAGAAACTATTTTCTTAAGAAGTCTTTTCTACTCTTTAGCCAAAAATTAAAAAAAAAAAAATTCATTTACCAATCATACACAAGAAAGTACTTTTTCGAACAATATTTTTCACTCACCAACCTAACATGAGAAAATAAGTCAGAAACCATCTTATTTTCCAAGAAAACATTTTCCTTCGTACCAAATACACCCTAAATTTACGTAAATGTTCAACACACGGTGCATGCCACATTAGTGTGTACCCCTGGATCAGTGGTTTATAATAAGAATTGAATCGCACGTGAATTATTATGAACAAATGCTATATTATTCTTGATGTTGTATAAATTGCTAAAGTGAATGATCAAGGTGATCGTAAAAACAATATATTGTAAAGTAATGACATAAGACAAGAAGATTATTCTTATTGAATATTTTCGGGTTGTGATCGTCTGACGATATTACTAGAAAATGATAAATTGAGAGCTTTCGAGCTTTAGTTAAAGCTTAATATAGTTATTGTGATGAGAATCAGATGAATTATATTACAAGTGAGGGTAATGAGTGTACTTATAGTCTAACGTACCCTAAGTAATGTCTTGTGTGTATTTTTCAGCCTCTCATAATAAGCATATTATATATACGTTTAATTCACCAAATGCGTGGTTGAATGACTACTTGAGAGAATCTTGAATTATCCGGAATTTTTTTTTATAGATGAAGTTTATCTAGATCGACTATTGATCAACTTTATTTCCAATCTCATTGCTCCCAAACTAGATGATTTGTATAGTTGTTTCGTACCTTCATTAATGGATAGAAGAAGCCTTATTGGGTACGACTTAAGGTCATGACCACCATTATTGTTGGTGAGCTGAATCTGACTAGATTTTATTTGTCACGTTCTGATACGTTGAAATGTCAAATCCTAATTTGATTTGACTCATATAATTAATGTGTAGAACTAAAGAATTAAGAATATATATCATCATCATTAGTCAAGCATGCATCTCAAGTGTAAGTGTGTTATGTGATAATTCGTGGTATTCCTATCAAACATTTTTTTGTTTATATGTTAAGTATTTCCCTTTGAGACACATAGGTTAGATTCGGCTGAATTTCAGGTTTGAAACAGTCCCAATGGTAATGGGGCGGGGCAGATGTAGATGTGGGGTGAGGTGGGTTTAAGGCTATGCGGGGCTGAGCAAATTTAAGGTTATGCGGGGTAGGTTGAAGTGAGTTTTTTTAAAACTAATGCGGATTCAGGATTTTAAGATTGTGGGTGCTCCTTTAGCTATCAATTGCAAAGTATAAGTGCACAAATTTAATAGTACTGTCTTAAGAAAGACAATCATACTTAAATATGATAGCGAAAAAAATCAATAAAAAAAACTACAATAAAAATTATATCACATAAAGAAAAAAGGAAGAAGGAAAAGTTTTTTTTATTAAAATTTTATTTAGAAAAAGTTAGCAAAAGGGCATAAAGGGAAAAAAGAACAATCAACGTAGAGAGAAAAATAAAATAAAATAAAAAATCAAATTGAAATAAATAAGTAGAAAGAGGAGAGTTGGATTTGAAACTAAAATTTATGTGTAAAGAGGGAATTGAACTCAAGAATAATAAGAGCAAGCCAGCAACCTTGAGCACCCATTTGTAACGACTGCGCCAACCAAGTCATTTGATACATGGGTGCTCGGTTTTAATTTTTATATGTTACCTTTTAATTTCTATATAAGTATATAATTTGATACGAGGTTAATGGGTGTTCGAGCACCCGAAAAGGACTATGTGGGTCGGCTGCTGGGGGGGGGGGGGGCAGGTTGCAAGTATATGTGATTTTATGTGAGTTCAAGCTTAATTTTAACTTTTTACATGTTATAAGAGTGATCAAACATTATTTATTAAGATAATTTATTTAAAGCTACTAAATTATTAAAGATGGTAAATGAAAATGGTTCAATAAAAAATAATACAATTTCTGACATGTTACCCAATTGACCTCTAAAAATAAAATTTTAAGTCACTAACCTATTAAATTAATAAAACTTAAAGAAAAATGAATTTATTTGTATGAATTTTATTTTTAGTGTCAAACTTAACTAGAAAAAGAAAATATTATAAAATTTATGCGGGGCGAGTTGAAAAGGAAAAAGGTTGTTGTGTGGGGCGGGACATATTAAATGGAAATGGAGAAATGAGGGGGAAAATTAGGGATTAGGAATATTAGTCTATGTGGAAATGAATGAAATTGTGGCGCTTACGTGGCATGCCATGTGGCATCCACGTGGCATTTAACAACTTCAGTTAATAAGAAGGGTGCTTTTGACCCAATAGTATGACAGGAAGGGTAGTTTTGAGCCGGAATATAATTTAAGGGTAAATATGAGCTATTTCGGATAGTTTAGAGGTATTTTTGAGCCTTTTCCGTTATAATTTAACGACAAACAAGATACATAAAACGTAGAATCATAAGCATCACATATATAAGAAGGGTCTCAAATTGTCATCTCAATACATTTTCTATAAACTCATCATTGAAGATGTCCAAACAAGGATAAAAAAAACTAAAGGAATTCATAATCATCCAACAAATTCAGAAACATCAATAACTATGCAATATGTGGTCCATTTCTACATGACCGCCTGTTGTGACCTTTATACCCACATGTACTACATGAATTTTTTTAGTCTTCTTCCTGTATAGTTCATTGTATAATTTGTCACGAAGCTTCTTTGATGGCCTATCAGAAAGTCTTTTGAATTTTGGTGGCCGCACTATGTCATCCTCAATATTACAAGGTACTTCAGCTTTATACTGGTGTATCTCAAATTAAAACCAATTTGATTAGCAACATCCTCCAATAAAGGTTTGCATACTCTTTCATCATAATCGCCTCTATTGTGTAATCAATATAGCAATTTTCTTCGTTCCATTTTTCAGAATATGTGATCAGAAATTAATGCTCTCCATAACTACATTATATTTCAACAATATTTGTATCCCAGTCATCATTACATATAAATTTACAATCAAAGTAACAAACAGAAATTGTATTTCAGAAAAATTGTATTCCATGATTGAAAAAAATGTATTTATGTCCTCTTTTGTATTAAAAAAAAAGTATATTAAATGTTTATTTTCTAGAACATCAACTAAATTTGATCCCAAATTAATTTATATTTCAAGTAGTCAACATACAGAGAATTTTTAATATTTAATTATTATCTGACAGTATCCCAATCAGATATTATATTTTAAATTTATTTTCTATCACATTCATCAAAACATAAAAACTTTCACTCACACTAAGAATCATAATTTGTATTTCACCAAATTGTATTTAATTTCAAAACAAAAAAAATATATTTCTTATATATTTGTATTCCAGTAATAAAAAATATGAACTTGTTTAATTTACAAAACATCAACTGAATTTATATTCAAACT